TGTGTGTGAGTGTGTGTGTGTGAGTGTGAGTGTGGCTTGAGTCAAGAGAGTCCTTGACTTTCATCAGAGACATTCAGCCAACTCTGTCTCAACAGAAAAGGGGGAGATTTACTCCATAATTCTTCATCGTGACACTTCTCGCTTTCGTTTCTGTTGCCTGTGTGTGATTGTGCATGCCGTGTATTCAGTGTTTTCAGCCTTGAGTGTGTGTGGAAATAGATACTGTGTATCTAAACACTGTCCCCTCAGATTCTCCTCACTAATAGTGAAACCTCTGTCTGTTCTTCTCACAGTTCGCTTCGGTTCTCTTTAGCCTTGACTGCAGACTAAACACAGAGAAAAGGAAAACAATCTGATTGTCCTGTCATTCATAGCTAGTTTACAGTGGCGCTTCCACAAAGCTGATAAATGCCTCTACAATTGCATGGAAACATCTGCTGCTCAAGACAATCTGATTATTATTTTGTGTATTTGTGTGACTGTTAAAGAACGTGGAACAAAAAGTGACATCAAAAGAGATCAGATGAAGGACACATGAAATGAAGGGAAAATATGTCACTGTCATATATTGTGGAAAACTCTGTGGCCTTATTGCTAAACTGAGCTTTCCGCAACATGCACGTTCAAAATATGATGAATGAGATTTCACTGTGATAATAACAGCATGCTATTTCCGGAAAAGTCCATTTTGCTCTCTCTAACAGTTTCTATTAAGTTTGTTACCAAATCTTTTCGGCTGTATCCCCAAAACAGACCCTGTTTTTTAGGGTTGCTGTTACTCTGTAGTTATAATGTGTGTGTGAGAGAGAGCAGGTTTATTCGTGCTATAGCTCTGCTTTTCTGATCCTTGCATTACACATTGCTGCAGGTTTGTTTGGTTATGCTTTTACAATCACACTTGAGCTGTTGCAGATGCAACGCTGATCTATTTCTTGCACAAACTCATCATGTCTCTGTGGCCCGGACATGCAGCTTCTGCTCGACATTTAGTTTTCTAAGTGAAGCATAACGTGAGTGTGTGAGTCTGAGATCGGCTGTGCTGTAAAGCAGACTGTGAGCACATGCAGAACTGAAACGAGAAGCGATTACAGAGCACATTATCCGCCCCTCCTGCACACAAACACAGACTGGCGCACGCTCGCGATTCATCCCAGCGAGTCGACTCTCTCGAGCGGTCCGTTTCAGTGATTCAGTTCTTTGAGAAGAGTAAGTGTTATTTCAATTATTAATGTGAACGATTTAAGGACAGCAATAATGTGCATTCACACAAGTTTCTTATAACAAAACAACCAATAATATAAAAAGAAAGGTAGCAGACTATTAGCCTATTCTCACTATTAACTATTGCTTATTAACATGCAAATTATTAACATATTGGCTGTTTATTAGTACTTATAAAGCACATATTAATGCCTTATTCTGCACGACCATATTCTACACCCCTAATCCTACCCAATACCTAAACTTAACAACTACCTTACTAATTATTAATAAGCAGCAAATTAGGAGTTCATTGAGGCAAAAGTTGTAGTTAATGGTTTGTTATTAGCGAGAATTGGACCTTAAAATAAAGTGTGACCAAAACAATAACAAAAAAAAACAAAAAAAATGCCAGAAGAGAGTCTGTTTCGGTATAAAAGTAAAAGAATAGGCTTGCAATATAATATTTTGCAAATGTATAACTTTTTGTTATTTAAAGAATAATTTAGCATAGTATGAAACATCCCATATTAAATGTCGCCATGATAAGCGTTACTATAACGACTGGTTTCTTTTAGAATAAAGGGTTAATATGGCTTATATAGGAATATTTGTTAATTTTATGGCTTCAGTTGTTTCAGTTAATTATTGGCTTCCTATTCATGCAAAAATGTTTACTTAAATAGCCTATTACTATTTATTAATATGTCATCGCTTACGTTTATTTATGAGGTGAATGCAGGTAAACTGGGACACTTACATTGGGAAATGTCTCAATCAACCCCGCTGTATTATTTAGTGGAAGTCTATTCCAGTTGATGTTGTCAGTAGTACTCTAAATGTGCTTCCTACAATGTGTCGAGATGGATTATGGTTTGGCCTCTTTATAGTTTCACTCCTCGCACAGTGATTCACTCGCAGCTTGCGAATCGGTTCATATGAATCATTAAGGAATTCAGACAGAGCGGAGTGAGTCTCGTGTGTTCGCGAGCTGTAGAGAAGAAGACTTCCCCGTGGATCTGATCTGACCCGTGCGCTGGAGGAATGCGGGATGAACGAGCGTCTGGCTGGTGAGTGACATACACTTTTGCTCTTTTGGGCTCCTAGGAGTTGCTGATTTCACAATTCTTTTTTTTTTTGCGTTGAAATGGCTGCTCCGGAGACAAATTACTTGTTATTGTATTGTTTTCATTTCCATGTCCCTACTGGAGAGAAATACGCGCAGAGCGTTGTTATAAACTGAACCTGTTCTGCGTCTGTTCTGTTCCAGCGGACATCACTTTTCTCCGGCGCTTGTACGGTCGCTGTTATTCAGTGCCACCCACGTCTCTGGATCACTGTATCAGATGCAGCTAAAGCAAGTGCAAAAAACGTGCTTTGTGACGTAAAATCACAACAACAACAAAAAATGTGACAAAAATGTAGATATGGCACATTACACGAGACAGATATAATCTATTGTATTTAAAACAACAAGCAATTGGTTAGAAATGATGTGATTAATAATCATTCTGCAAATCATGGAATCTTAAATCAAGTCAGATTGTCTTCAGACCATGCATATAATTTTTTTTTTAAATATCCATTTGATAATTCACAATTGTTTGCCATTAACAGCAGCGGTAAGAATCTAAAAAAAAAAACATTTATACACTCAACTTTAATGTCTCTTTGGTAATACGCCAAAGCTGTGGGTGGTGTGGCACCTAATCATATATATATATACATATCATAAGCTGCTCTGAAAGGTTATTAAGTTCTTGGCCCTGCAGTAAGTGCACATTTGAGTCCATATAATCATTGCTTGCAGATATTTATGTTTCTTTATTTGCCATTACATTTTTTTAAGCATCTTTGTTTTGCATTTTTCCAGTTACGGTGTTTTATCTTTTTCTGTTTTCAGTGAAATTCAAAGTCAATACTGAATTCTAGCTATTAATCTATTAATATTTAGATTTTTTAGTTTTTTGTTAGAAAAACAACCCTAATGCATTAACTTTCATTTTATTATTAAAGCATTTTTTGTTTGAACTTTAAACTTTGATATAATTTGGTAGAAGAAATCCTTGTTATCTTGATGTTCTGATGGATATTGGAACAATTAAAACGACCATATCGACCATATTCTACACCCCTAATCCTACCCAATACCTAAACTTAACAACTACCTTACTAAAGCAGCAAATCTTATAAAGCACATATTAATGCCTTATTCTGCACGACCATATTCTACACCCCTAATCCTACCCAATACCTAAACTTAACAACTACCTTACTAATTATTAATAAGCAGCAAATTAGGAGTTCATTGAGGCAAAAGTTGTAGTTAATGGTTTGTTATTAGCGAGAATTGGACCTTAAAATAAAGTGTGACCAAAACAATAACAAAAAAAAACAAAAAAAATGCCAGAAGAGAGTCTGTTTCGGTATAAAAGTAAAAGAATAGGCTTGCAATATAATATTTTGCAAATGTATAACTTTTTGTTATTTAAAGAATAATTTAGCATAGTATGAAACATCCCATATTAAATGTCGCCATGATAAGCGTTACTATAACGACTGGTTTCTTTTAGAATAAAGGGTTAATATGGCTTATATAGGAATATTTGTTAATTTTATGGCTTCAGTTGTTTCAGTTAATTATTGGCTTCCTATTCATGCAAAAATGTTTACTTAAATAGCCTATTACTATTTATTAATATGTCATCGCTTACGTTTATTTATGAGGTGAATGCAGGTAAACTGGGACACTTACATTGGGAAATGTCTCAATCAACCCCGCTGTATTATTTAGTGGAAGTCTATTCCAGTTGATGTTGTCAGTAGTACTCTAAATGTGCTTCCTACAATGTGTCGAGATGGATTATGGTTTGGCCTCTTTATAGTTTCACTCCTCGCACAGTGATTCACTCGCAGCTTGCGAATCGGTTCATATGAATCATTAAGGAATTCAGACAGAGCGGAGTGAGTCTCGTGTGTTCGCGAGCTGTAGAGAAGAAGACTTCCCCGTGGATCTGATCTGACCCGTGCGCTGGAGGAATGCGGGATGAACGAGCGTCTGGCTGGTGAGTGACATACACTTTTGCTCTTTTGGGCTCCTAGGAGTTGCTGATTTCACAATTCTTTTTTTTTTTGCGTTGAAATGGCTGCTCCGGAGACAAATTACTTGTTATTGTATTGTTTTCATTTCCATGTCCCTACTGGAGAGAAATACGCGCAGAGCGTTGTTATAAACTGAACCTGTTCTGCGTCTGTTCTGTTCCAGCGGACATCACTTTTCTCCGGCGCTTGTACGGTCGCTGTTATTCAGTGCCACCCACGTCTCTGGATCACTGTATCAGATGCAGCTAAAGCAAGTGCAAAAAACGTGCTTTGTGACGTAAAATCACAACAACAACAAAAAATGTGACAAAAATGTAGATATGGCACATTACACGAGACAGATATAATCTATTGTATTTAAAACAACAAGCAATTGGTTAGAAATGATGTGATTAATAATCATTCTGCAAATCATGGAATCTTAAATCAAGTCAGATTGTCTTCAGACCATGCATATAATTTTTTTTTTAAATATCCATTTGATAATTCACAATTGTTTGCCATTAACAGCAGCGGTAAGAATCTAAAAAAAAAAACATTTATACACTCAACTTTAATGTCTCTTTGGTAATACGCCAAAGCTGTGGGTGGTGTGGCACCTAATCATATATATATATACATATCATAAGCTGCTCTGAAAGGTTATTAAGTTCTTGGCCCTGCAGTAAGTGCACATTTGAGTCCATATAATCATTGCTTGCAGATATTTATGTTTCTTTATTTGCCATTACATTTTTTTAAGCATCTTTGTTTTGCATTTTTCCAGTTACGGTGTTTTATCTTTTTCTGTTTTCAGTGAAATTCAAAGTCAATACTGAATTCTAGCTATTAATCTATTAATATTTAGATTTTTTAGTTTTTTGTTAGAAAAACAACCCTAATGCATTAACTTTCATTTTATTATTAAAGCATTTTTTGTTTGAACTTTAAACTTTGATATAATTTGGTAGAAGAAATCCTTGTTATCTTGATGTTCTGATGGATATTGGAACAATTAAAAACAATTAACAGTGGAAAGTATTTAATGTGTGATGATCTATGATAGTAAAGTTTGTTTTGGGTTAATAATGTAGGTTAATCGTTTTCTCGTAGATCGCAGACCTGCTGATCGTTGACATCATGGCGGCGGAGTTCAGTAACCTGACGTCGCTCATGAACAACGTGAGCGAGTTTTCCAACCACACGCCGAGATGCTCGTTAACCAAGACCGGCTTTCAGTTTTACTATCTCCCCATCGTCTACATCATCGTGTTCATCGCAGGCTTTATCGGGAACAGCTTGGCCATATGGATGTTCGTGTGCCACATGAGGCCCTGGAGCAGCATCTCCGTCTACATGTTCAACCTGGCGCTGGCCGATTTTTGTTACGTGCTCTCGCTTCCGTTCCTCATCTTCTACTACTTCAACAAAACAGACTGGATTTTCGGAGACGTCTTATGCAGACTGCAGAGATTCATCTTCCACGTGAATCTCTACGGAAGCATCCTGTTCCTCACGTGCATCAGCGTGCACAGATACTCCGGCGTCGTGCATCCGCTCAAATCGCTCGGGAGGCTGAAAAAGAAGAACGCCGTTCGCACCGTCGCGCTCGTTTGGTTCGTAGTCGTGGTCGGCATCTCTCCCATCCTTTACTACTCGCGAACCGGCCCTAAGAAGGGGTTAACGACGTGCTACGACACCACGACCGAAGACGAGCTGCCTGGATACTTCATCTACAGCATGTGCATGACGGTGTTCGGCTTCTGCATCCCGTTCATCATCATCCTCAGCTGCTACGGCGGCATCGTCAAAGCCCTCATCTGCAACGACATGGACAACGCGCCGCTGAGGAAGAAGTCGATATACCTGGTCATCATCGTGCTCACGGTGTTCGCCGTGTCCTACCTGCCTTTCCACGTCATGAAGAACCTGAACATGCGAGCCAGACTGTACTTCCAGAGCGCGGACATGTGTGCCTTCAACGACCGCGTGTACGCCAGCTACCAGGTGACCCGCGGCCTGGCCAGCCTCAACAGCTGCGTGGATCCTATCCTGTACTTTCTGGCCGGAGACACGTTCAGACGCAGGCTGTCCAGAGCCACCAAAAAGTCCTCAAGGAAGGGAGATCACCCCCTGCAGTCCAGGAGCGAGGAGACGGTGCTGAACAGCCTGCCGGAGTACGTCCAGAACGGGGACAAGCGCGTCTGACCTTCCCTTCGACCGATGCTTTATAGAGATTTATAATGTTCTTTAAAGAAGTCTCTTCTGCTCACCAAGCCTGCATTTATTTGATACGAAGTACAGCTTTTGAAATGTTTTTACTATTTAAAATAACGTTTTTCTTTTTGAATATGTTTTGAAATGTAATTTATCCCTGTGATTTCAACGCTGTATTTCTAGCATCATTACTCCAGTCACATGATCCATGATACACATGAGTAGAATTTTTTTCTGGTTTCTTTGATGAATAGAAAGATCAGAAGAACAGCTTCTGAAATAGAAATCTTTTGTAACGTTATAAATGACTTTATCATCACTTTTGATCAATTTAAAGCGTCCTTGCTAAATTAATTTCTATAATTTACATCATATGTAAATGTAATGTTACAAATGCTTTTTATTTCAGATGAATGCTGATCTTTGGATCTTTATTCATCAAAGAATCTTGAAAAAATGCACTCAACTGTTTTCAACATTGTTTCTAATAATCAGCATATTAGAATGATTTCTGAAGATCATGTGACACTGAAGACTGGAGTAATGATGCTGAAAATACAGCTGCACATCACAGAAATAAATTACAGTTTAACAGATATTCAAATAGAAAACTGCTATTTTAAATAGTAAAAAATATTTTACAATATTTCTGCTTTTGCTGTATTTTGGATCAAAATAAATGCAGGCTTGCTGAACAGAAAAGACTTCTTTAAAAAAAACATGAAAAATCTTACAGTTCAGAAACGTTTGACTGCTAGTGTAGAGTATTGGAAATCATGGTACTGTACTCCGGTCAGTGTTACTCCTCCTGTGTTGCTTTTAACGTTTTCATCGAATGTGATTTTACTGAATGAACGTTCACTAACCAACCGTTTAACAGTCTGAATATAACAAGCACTGGCGTTTTAGTTGAGGACGCTCGAACGACGTCTCTGTGATCTGTTATGTTCTCAGTGAATAGTTAAGATGCACTATAGATATTTTCTCATAATTAATTGTCTACCTGTACGTTTCAAGCATCCGAGATGTGTTTGTGAATTGATGTGTATTCTGCTGTTACTGTAAAGATGTGTGACTCATAAGAATATCAGCCCGTGAATTATGAAGGGACTCTTATAGCCATGTTTTAAATAGTCGATAAATACTGTAATGTATTACTCTTTAACGATCTGTAGTATTTAAAGCTAAAACAAATACAGAGATCTAAATGAAAAGTACGTTAACGGCTCTTTATTATCAGGTCGACCAAAAAATGGTGGGTTGCAGAAGAATAGAATAGTATTGTATGTATTGGTTTTTTTTCTTCCTTCCGATTAATTATCATATTTTTGAAAACGTGTAGTTTAACAATTAGGCATAGCAATACTGGTCAAAAGTGTGGGATAATTCAGATTTTTAATGTTTCTGAAAGAAGTCTCTTCTGCTCACCATGGCTGCATTTATTTGATCAAAAATACAGTAAAAACTGTAAAATTGCCGTTTTCAATGTGAGTCTGTTAAAATGTAATGTATTGCTGTGATGCAAAGCTGAATTTTCAGCAGCATTACTCCAGTCTTCAGTGTCAGATTTCTGTAAAA